ATGAGTATTCTGTAGTCTCTTATTCTCTGCATGTTGATCAGTTGTGGGTCTCTGTGTTAATTTCAATCTACTATAAGAAGAAGCTTCTCTAGTGGGAGTTCAGTGATACACTAATCTATGGATATAACAAGTCATTAGGAGCCGGTTAATACTACGCCCACTTAGAAGAATAACAGTAGTAGGTTCTCCCCTATGGCCTGCTGACCTGTCTAACCACAGGTTATTGGCCCTGAAAACTGGGTCAGGTATGGTGTTCATCTTGTGAAGCAGACCTTAAATCCAGTCTGAAAGTGATTGGTTACTCCACTATTGCACCAAAGGACATATCTTGCCAGATCAATTGTTATTGTGGCCCACAGGGTTCAGAGCTGGGTACTGTTGATGATTACTTTTCCCTTCTGGTAGTATGCATGACCCCTTCCAGCACTATGAAAACTAGCCAATAAAGATGAAAATTTGGGGTTGGTGCCAACTTTATTTCTCCTTGTTTGTTGTATGACTCGTGTATGTAGTGCAGTAGATAAATAAAAGAATGCTTGTGCTTGCCTGCATAAGACTTGTAAAAGGAAGCTGGTCGACATTCTAGCATGGAGGGTTGAGGGACACATGAGCCCCACCACTAGATGTGGACCTGGTGATAACTGAGCACTTCTGGAGAAGGGAAAGTCAGTTTTCTTTAAGGGTGAGGCCCCTGGTAGGTAGACCATGCTGCGATGAATGGCCCACACCCATGAATATATATATGGACAGCACAAATTGAACTTGATAGGTTTTTTATGAAACAGGTTTTTTTATGAAACAGCAACAACAACAAAAAGAGGATACAGTGGGAGAGGATGGGGAGGACATACACAGGACTTGGAACAATTGCGCTGGAACTAACCTGGAAGCCTCCTCCCTGAAGATTAGCTATTGTAGCATCAGAGGATACATGGAAACTGCTAATGGAGAAAACCAATCAGTGATCCAACTCAGCTGTAAAACGTCATAACCACAACAAGGACTAGTGCAGGAAACTATCTTTGTTTGTGCAGTAGCAGTACTTTTGTTTCTAGTCATCAACAGCAATCTAATTGGATTTAAAGCCTCCTCAGTGAGAGGGAACTCGTGTGTGGTACTGTAAACATATGGAGTGGTGATAGACCCTAGAGAAAAATTTACATCTGTCCCATCCCTAGACAAACCTAATTTCTTACTGTATGCTAAACATATATCCCTATATTTACAGACAAGTATACCTCTCATCGTTAATCACAGAAGATTCTTTTTGCAACAGATGGAGACTATTACAGAGTTTTACAACAGGTCAGATACAGATAATTGGTGTCTGTGAGATGCCCAGCCCTAAGTGACACATTTACAATGCAATCCCTACACCTAAGGCTCAGGAAATATAGGTGAAGAGGGGGGATAAAATATTAATACATCTCTCAAATTTCACCAGTGAAGCTCCCTCATGCAACATATGGTGATTAGCACAGAAAGCCACAACTGACCAAAATGTAGAGAATAAGACTGCAGAGTGCTTGTCCCTGGATAGGACTCCTGTATTAACCTCAGCCACCATGGCTCAGAGACCATTGAGGAAGAGGGGTGGAAAGAATGTAAGAGGCTGGGGTGGTAGGTGACCACAGGACATAGTTTTCCATGTTTCTGGGAACTTGCTCGTATGAACTTACAGTAATGGTGACAGCATGCACAAGACCCATGCAAACTTAAACAAAAATCCAGCATAGAACTGAGAAAATGGGAAAGAAGCCCCAATCTTAGCTAAAGAACTATTGGCAACTGATCGCTGCTGGGTGAGGGAGAGTTGGTCTTCCTTAAGGGAGTGACGCTAATAGATTGACCAGGCTCCAGTAAATTAACTCACACTGAAGGACATCTGGGGACATAAGCTTGACTCACTAGGCCTCAATGTATATGACTGAATTCATGAAATCCAGCAGGGGGCAATAGAGGTGTGGGGACAGGGGAGGGAGACTAAATTTGATCAAGATGTATTACATGAAATGCATAAGAATTAAATTAAAAATTAAAAAATAGTACACAAAGTTGGGTGGGGAGGTGGAGGTAGATCGAGCAGGAGTTAGGAGGAGAAGTGGGGTGGATATGATCAAAATAGAATGTGTGAAATTAATAAAAATATTGTACTTAATGAAAAAGAATCCTATGTTTGCTGCTTTAACAACTATGGAATTTCAACCTGTGGCACCCATGCTGTGATCAATGGAGGCCAGCATTCAGCACACAAATACCATTAGTTACTCTGATGGCGGGATAAGTGCCGAAATAGTGACCACTTCAAGACTTATGTACCTTGCTGTAGCTGTGACATCCATCTGTGTGGCCAGTGGACACAAAGCCTTACAGAGTATAAGTGGGTTTAATCATTGCCAAACTCGTGAGATAAGTCACATGGAGCACGGGCTTCACATCATCATCCGTCTGCAGTGGATTGGGACTTCACTACAGACAGTCTGAAAAGTGCTGACTTAATGCACGTTATTTCCAGTTGCGCATCTCCTTCATGAAAATAACTATCTGGATTCCTCCAACAAGATGAGAGAAAGCACTGTTGGTGTGGAGCATAGGCTGTGTGATCTGAATTTCTCTTCTTTTTCATGTGTATGTGTGTGTGGTATGTGCATGTGTGTATATGTGTGTTATCATGGGCATGGGTGTGGTGAACATCTGTACATATGTGTCCATACTCATGTGCTCATATGGAGGCCCAGGGTTGATATTAGGAATCTTCTCTGGTCACTCTTCTATCTTCTCCATTGAGACAGGGTCTCTCAATCAAACCCAGAGCTTGTCAATACAGCTAGTCTCACCCCTGCCTCCACCTTCCACGTCTAGAATTACAGATGGGTGCTGCTGTGCCCATCTGGAATTCACAGGGGTTCTGGGGATCTGAATTGGAAAGTGCTTTAACCACTGAATAATATCCACAGCCCATGGTCTGGATTTTTCACAAGGTCTTCTGAATAATTTATCCTGGACTGCTACATTTAGGCACCACTCTACAGCAGATGATGCCCCATTCTGTGGCAACTCACCATATGGGGCTACTGCACTTTTGATGTGTGGCTAGTCCAAATTGAGATATGCTGTAAGTGTGAAATAAATACCAGATCTCTAAGACTTCAAATGAATAATGGAGTCTTAAATTAAGTAATCTCATTAAATATTTTAATGTAGCTAGCATATTGAAATGATAGTATCATGGATCTATTGTGTACAACAAGATACATTATTAAAATTAATTCACCTTTTTATTGTTACTATAGAATATTTTTATTAATTTTGTTGCACTGAAATTTAATACATATAATATTTTGTGATACTCTCCATCCCCCCCCCCTTTTTAATCTCCCTCCCACCTCTTCCAGTCTGCCCTTACTGCTCCACAAATCTCTTCTCTTTATTGACGGTTTTTTGGTTTTATTGTGTCCCACTGAGTTTAAGCTGGACATCTGTGTGACCATAGACTTTGAACTATCCATCTGAGCCCGGTGAGCTCCGCAGTGATTCCATGACTGGATAATATGCCTTCCCCTTTACATGGTCTGTAAGTTGCCAGTACTTCAGCAGTAAGCGTTGAGGTCACATGAGCCCCTCCCTGATCCATACCTGACAGTTGGCTCAGATCGTCTTGTGCAGCCCAGTGCCAGTGACAGCTGCAGCTGTGAGTTCATGATTGCCATGGTTGCGCTGTGCTGAGAAGGTGGCATTTTGTAGCCCTTTTCCTGTCTTTGGTCACTCAAATTCATTCTGCCCCCTGTTCCATGATGATCCCTGAGCCTTAAGGATGTGTTTTAAATGTCTTAATTGAGACTGAGCCCTTATCTCATTCTCAGCATTTTGTGAAGTCATGGATCTCTGCATTTACTGCTGTTCACTATGAAGAGAGGCTTCTCTAAGACAGAGAGCATCCTTTGTGGATATAAACATAGACATGTAGAAGGCAGTTTGGAGCTATGTCAACTTAGCTAAGTAACAGTATAAGAAGAGGACCATAGTCATGAGTTTTTTGTTTGTTTGTTGTTTTTTTTAACTGTATTTGTAGCACCCGGCATGCATTATGTCTCATGGAAGTAGAGAGTACCTGGTCACCCAGTCAGCAGTCATGCCACTCTTGGAAAGGTGGGCAAAGCTTACCTGGCAGGTTGGTATTATAGTTCACAGAGTTCAGAGCTAGGCAAAACCTTGATGCCGTCACTCCACCAGCTCCTGTATAGTACCATTCAGTAATATGAAATCTAACCAGCCAGAAGGAAGCTTCCAGCTCAGTTCCAGTTTTATTTTTCTATATCTTACATCTAAAATGTGTGGTGTCTTCAGCAATAGGGTCTTATCAACTAGTTCTGGTGGGCAGCCAAGATGAATGACAAGATCCTGAATTGTTTTGGGGGCCTCTGGGCTCCCCCTGACCAGCATATTCCTGTGGAGATATCACCTATCTAGCACTGGAAGTTTTGTTTTCGCGACCCATTGCTTTTAGGACTGGCATTATCTAGCCATGGGAGGTATCTGCCTTCAAACTCTCTTTGCTATTTTTTAACTGGATTGCAAGATAGTAGATTTCCATGTGACTTTTTTTCATACCCTCTTCATCTTGTTTAACCCTCCCCCACCCCATCCTCTCTAAACCCCCCACCCATCACTCTCCCTCTCCACCCACATTTTACTATGTGCTACTGCCTCCCTTCCCTTAAAGCAACTGCCTCACAACTGTTCCTCTTCTGAACTCCAGAATCCAGGAGACTATAGAATATTTAAGATGACATATTCTGATTATGTTACACATGGCTGTGCCACAGTGTTGGCAGAGTATTCAGGGCTAGGGCTGTCTATAAGGTAGGCAGTAGTAGTTCTGCATAAACTGCTGGCCTGGGTGCCTATCCTTACCTCTTCTTTTTGATGCTATTTGCAAATGAACTCCCTTAGTTACTAAGTAGGGTGTTTATGTGCTTGCTTGTCATTTTGTCATGCAGATTAACTACAAGGCCGTTGGCTCACTGGATCCAAGTGCTGACCTGTCCAGCCAAAGGGGGAAAGTGTTCAAGCTGCGGAATGAAACCCACCACCTCTTCGTGGGTCTGTACCCAGGGACCACCTACTCCTTCACTATCAAGGCCAGTACAGTCAAGGGCTTTGGACCTCCAGTCACCACTCGGATTGCCACCAAGATTTCAGGTATTTCTTTTAGAAAGGGAGGAAGGAAAGAGCTTGTCCCCCTCACCCCTGACCCCTTTCCTAATTTTCCTGTAGTAAAAGGAGCTAGAGCTAGCTGTCACTATGGGGTAATAGAACACTTTGAACAATAAAGTTCCTATTGGGTTGAGAAAAAAAGTCCAATTGATAAATTTTATACAGTGTAAAAATGTATTAATTAGGGAGCAGTTCACCAATTAACCTGCCACAGAGTTGCACTATATAGTGTGACACAGTGAAAGACAAAGTGAGAAAAAGAGAACAAGAACAAAAAACTTGGTTTGTAAATTTATTTGCAGAAATAATCTTCTTTTTCTAATGCAAGACACCCAGCATTGGCTCTCATGAGGTATCTGATGAATAACTGAATGAATGAATGATTCTGACCCAGTGCCAGTGGCCCAAGATTGCAAACTGCCTTGACCAATAGGGTATCCTGCACCATGAGGAAGCATGAACATAGAATGATTCCAGAACTCTCTTTTGTGCTTTCATATTTTAGAATATCTACACAATAAGTATCATGCATACTTATTTCGCATGTGGTTTTGCAAAAATCATGAATTCTTTTGTAGCTTAATGTTTCCACTTATCCTTATCCCATAAGTATTTCCCGCGTTGCTACATTGCTTTCATTATAATGTTCTGTCAAGTGGATGGACGTAATTTAATTAAACATTCCCTCGTGGCTGGATGTATGTGGTGCTTCCATGTTTTCATAAAATAATGCTTCAATAAACATGTTACAAAATAAAGTTTAAATCGTTGATTGGGATTATAACTTTAGGATTTAATTCAGAAATTGAAAAAAAAAGGGCGAATTAAAAGATGTGGGTCTTAATAGCTCTTAATACAAATGGCTAAATTACCCTTTCAAAGGATTGGATTTAGTCGCACTCCTGTGGGGGGAGAGGGCCTCCAGAAAAAACATGGAACTAATTCATCATTGCTTTAATTTGCATCTAAAAGTGTTTGACAAGGTTGACTCTGTTTTCATGTCTTTATTAAGTGCTTATACTTCCCTCATATATCTAATTTTGCTGAGTAGATGCAAACCTTTTTGATAATGTGCTCATCACCTCCCAGGACTAGTGCATCTGTGGGAACCTGCAAAGGCCTCTGACATGGTGGGCCTCTCATTTGCCCACTTTAGTCATCAGGAGTCTTTAAGGTTGGCATCAAAGGGATGTGTTGAATGAGGTTTGAGACTGTGCTTGTTCACCTCTAGTTTCTCTCTCCTTCCCAGCTCCATCAATGCCTGAATATGACACAGACACCCCCCTGAATGAAACAGACACAACCATCACTGTGATGCTGAAACCTGCCCAGTCCCGGGGAGCCCCTGTCAGGTGAGGAGGTTGGAGTCTGCAGCTTTCCTTCTCTGTACCACACACATCCAGGTGAATCAGGTGACTGGCAATGTGCCTGGGTGAGATAACCAGGACCAAGATTTCCCAGAGGGAAGAGGGTCAGCAGCTCAAAGCCCATTTCAGAGGGCACCACTGAGCCAGGATCCCCTCATCCTACAATGGGATGTTCAGAAGGAACATGCTGATAGCGACCTGAAATGGTCAGAGAACTTTCTGGAACATAATTATGGAAAATGTAGTTATTAGGTTGAAAACCTAGACACATTGCTCTGGCAAGATTACCTGACTTACTGCCATACAGACAGACTTACTGAGTTCTCCAGTGGACCTGCTTAGAGATTGCTCATGGGATGAACCCCAGGAACTGGTTCAGCCTGGAGGCATGGAGCCCCACAGGGGCCCTGCCTTCAAGGTCACACTGCTGTTTTTTTCAAGAGTTTGTTGGGCTCATATGGGTACCTAAGTAGCAAAAGCATCTCAGTAGCGAGTCCAACTTCTGCAAGTTCATGGCTATCAGGAGGGCAGGCATTTCTCTTTTTTTACTGTATTTTTTAATTGAATTTTTGTGCACTTCATACAACATATCTTAATCATATTTAGACCCCTTCCCCATCTACACCTCCAATGGCATACCCACTGAATTTCATGCATTCTGTCATATATATTAAAGCCTATCGAGTCAAGTTTGTGTACCCAGATGACCCTTGGTGTGAGTTCATCCACTAGAGCCTGTTCAGTTTATCTAACATCACTCCCTTAAAGAGGATCAACTGTCTCTCACCCAGCAGTGATCAGCTGCCAATAGTTAGTTCCTCAGCTGAAGCTGGGGTCTCCTGCCCATTTTCCATTCTATGTTGGGTTTTTGTCTGTTTCATTTTGCATGGGTCTTGTGCATCCTGTCACCATTGCTCTAAGTTCCCAGAGGCCTGGAAGACCGTTTCCTTATGTCTACGCACTACCCCTGGCTCTTACAATCTTTCTGCCTCCTCTTCCACAATGGTTCCTGATCCCTGGGTGGGCAAGGTTTAATATAGGAGTCCTATCCAGGGACATGCATTCTGTGATCTCTTATTCTCTACACTTTGGCCAGTTGTGACCTTCTGTGTTCACTACCCTCTGGTGCATGAAGAAGAGTTTGCTGGTAAGAGTTGAGAGATGCCTTAGTAGTCTCCTTACCTCCTGTTCTGCTATGCTCTATGAGCCTTAGATGTAGAGTTCCCATTATAGATGTGTCACTTAGGGCTGTGTATCTCACACACATTTATTCTGTGTGTGTGACCAGTGTAATATCCCCATCTGTTGCACAAAAGGGGCTTCTTTAGGAGTGGTAAATGGTATACTTGTCTGTAAATAGAAGGATCCATATTTAGTATACAGCATCTCTTTTAAATAAGTACTGTTTGTACAAGGCAAAGATGTTTCCTGCTGGCAAAATGCTCAGAATTCCAGGTCTTGGGATCTTAGTCCCTTGAAATGAGCAGAAACGTGGATGGAGCTTTCAGGTTGGCACAGTTCAGTTCAGTAAGCATGAAGGAAAAACCTTATGAACAGTGAATGGGGTGTGTGGGTTGAAGGCAAAAATGACTCATTTGGTATACGTTTTCATTAAGTGTCTCAGGCACTGTTTAAGGGCTTGGCATAATGGTAGTGAACTAATCATATTTTCAAAGGAAGTCAAACTGCGGTTAGACAGAAACATGAAGACATGGCTACAATACTGTGCGTCCTTGTGGAAATCTGTACAAGTGGTTATGAACAGGAAAGGTGACAGAGATGTGTAAGATTTCATTCAAGTTTCCAGTATGGACCAAAGCACACAGGAGAGGGCAACTTGCTGAAATGGAAACAGCTATATCTGGTTAAGTTTTCTTTAACCTAAAGAACAAGGCCATAGCAATGAAATGGAAGCAGGGTATGTTTGAGACACTTGGGTTTATTTGAGGGTCATGTGGACTGCAAGAGACTACCTCACAACATCATCACTTTATGTGTCCCTGAAGGCCTAAATGCAGCCTGGAAGGAGGCTCTTGAGATAGTCCTGACCTTCATTTTTAACCTATATCTAAGTCTACCAAGAAATTACAGGAGCAGAGCACATAGAAACCAAGAAAGAATGAACCAAGAAAAAAATGTAGATATTCTTGCCTAGTCTGAAGATTACATGACATCCCATCCTGTGGGGCCAAATGAATCTGGCCCTATAGCAGATCTGGATGATGTTTGTGGACCTATAACCACAAGCATTTGTCTGGCATTCTGTGTGTCAAAGGTCAGAACCATCCTACCTGTGATAAGCCATACCAGATGCTAGTTTTAGGTCTAACTGAAATACTCATCCCCTGTGTTTTCTCCAGCTACTCTGATGTAACATTCTCATTTAATTTATTTCAACAAACTGTGAGATGTTCTCTTCATTTTCAGATGAGGAAGCTGAGATGCAGAAAAAAGGGAAGTGAGATCTTAAAAAAGAGTCTATTAGATTCTATTGTTCTGTGCCTGTGGTCATGCACAACACTCTGCGAAAAGCTCTATCCAATTTGCAGATATGAAAATTGAGATAAACAGAGCTAAGTGAGTTCACTCAGACCATGAAACAAATGAGACAGGAAAATCTAAAGCCCAGTTCTGACCCTAGCCCCAAATTCATTTTACTGTATCATGCCATCTTCCTAGGGGAATGGTATGCATGACATATTTTGGTGACATTTCCATCCAAAAAAAAAAAAATGAAAGGAAATGTCACTGCTCAAAGGGGAAATGGTTGGTGTCTGGGAATGTCTGGCCGCTTTCCTTCTCAACTTTCTGGGTCACTGAGGGTGGATATACACTCTGTTTCTGGAATTATTTTTGGACCACTGCTTGGTCGTTTTCCAAGAAGGGGAAGATGCTAACCACCAATATAGAGAGAATGACTTTCAGGACAACTGCAAAAAAAGTGGAAATGTACAATAGATTTCAGTTCTGTTCATCTTTTTCACCTACAGTCCTGGGCACTAAGGTGTGCATCTTGTAGGCAGCTGGTCAATAGGTTATTCAATAGCTATTTATTCAGCACTTGCTATGTTCTAAGAAGTGAGCTAAGCAGTTGGAATAGAGGAAGAAGCAGGAAAACTTACCCACCTCTTGAGACTCATCATCTAGGAAGTGTGCCTAAGAATGGGGCAGGGAGGCAAAAAACAAAGAAGTGAATAAAATAATGAAATCGCAAAACAAATCAAACTATACAGCACAGTGACTGTGGCGATTAAGAGGAACAGTGAACAGTGGACGTGATGGAGAGATGAGGTGTATGCAAGATAACTGACAGGAGTTCTGTAGGTTTCTAGGAGCAGGTGGGAAAAGCAGTCTGAATAGTCTGTGGCCCAGGACTCCAAGAGCCCACTAGAGGCATTTGGCCAAAGACGCCTCGAACCATATTTTAAAGCAGGAAGAGAAAGAATTGTAATACCTTGTAGCACAGTAATATAAATGTAGTATAAATACTTTATTATGTTTCAAATAACTAGAAGAAAAGAACATAGAAATGATAAATGTTTGAAGAGATGGGAAGTCTAATTATACTAACTCTATCATGACTTACTATGTTTAGGTATCAAATTATTTTATATCCAATAAATAAGCACAAGTATGTATGTCATTTGATGAAACAAGAGTGTTTAAGAATAGAATTTGAACCAGTGAGATGGCTCAATGGGTAAAGGTGTTTGTTGCCAAGTCTGAAGGCCTGAGTTCAATCTGTGGAACCTACATAGTAGGAGGAGAGAACTGACTTCCACAGGTTGTCCTCTTTGTGCATGTGCCCTGGCACCTGTGCACGCACATGCGTGTGTGCATACACACACACACACACACACACACACACACACACACACACACACACACATAAAAATATATACTGTTGATATTCTTTTTTTTTTTTTTGTATGTCTGTCTCTCCACATGATGGAAGGAGAGAACCAACTCGGAAAAGTTGTCTTCTGACCTCCACACACATTCCATAACATGCGTGTGTGCATACACACACACACACACACACACACACACACACACACACACATACACACACAATCATATAAAAGAATTTACTGTTGATAGTCTTTTTTCTTCTGTTGTATGTCTGACTCTCCATTTTCTGGTGGGAAAGTGAGTTGGGAAATACCATATCCATTTCAGAAAAATTAAGTGTAAGATGTTAAGTGATTGAATCAAGGTCCTGGATCTCCTCACAGATAAAGCCAGTTGTATTGGTTACTTTTCTCATTGCTGTGACAAAATACCCATCAAAAGCAACTTAAGGAAGAAATAGTTTATTTTGGCTCACAGTTTTAAGTGTTACAGTCCATCATGGTGGGTAAGGCATGGAGCAGGAGCAGAGGCAGCTAGTTACATTGTATCCACAGTCAGTAAGCAAAGAGTGAAGAATGCTCACTTTCTCCCTTGCATTCAGCCCAATGCTGCCAATATTTAGGATAGGTCTTCCCACCTTTCTTAACGCAATTTAGAACTGCCTCACAGAGATCTGTCTCCTGGTGAGTCTAGATCCTGTCAAGTTGACAACCAGTATTAACTATCAGACAGGTAGTTGAACAAAGACCCAGTTTCCTCACTCCAAGATCACAGCTTCAGGTTCCTGGTTCTAATGTGTCAGGTGATAGCTGGGGGAAATGTTGAGGATGGTACTATATGATTAGTATCTGAGGGATGAGGACTGGGCAAGCTCACTTTACGGGAATCCTCTAACTCTGGGTTATGTGGATCCAGTCTGTAACCTATCCCTTTCTACATGAAGCTCCTTAATTCTTACAGATTCATACCTAAGCCCTGGCCTCCTGCCCCCCATGTAGTAGACTTTCCTTCCTTCTACCCTCAAAGCTTAATTGCCAACAGAGCCTAATTCCAGCCCCTATTCTATTGCCTCATATTCCTTGGAAGTTTCCCAGGTTTGAATCCTCCCAGTAGTGCTGAGTGCTCAGGGTGAG